TCGGCAGAGGACAGTGCTGCACGTGGTGTGTGCCAGCGGCGATGACGCCATGCTGCGGTTACTGATGAAGTATGGCGCCAGAGCAGATGTGCAGGACAGTTATGGTGACACACCGCTACACCTCGCCCTGCAGCGGGTACTACATGGCCACAAATATGGTAATTGACAAAATTCTAATTAGAATAGGGCAGAACGCAGAATGGTTATTGAGCTCAGAGAAGTGGCATCCCATAAGAGAGACCATGGAAACAGTGACAAATGAATATGTGATTATGTTAAACTAGTTGAAACCACTTTAGCAAGTTACTCGGCATAGGATGCCACAGTGACAACCAAGCAATTGATTTCTTTATCAGTGTTTCCTTAAAAATTCTTCTTGGAAGTTTAGAGGAAGTTTAAAAGGGTCTACGCAATGCATTTTTTTCACCGCTATTTGGAGATGTGCCCTTGTGTCTCAGTTGAGCTGATTTTCAATTTTATTTGGCTTTGGTACTAGGAATTTTGCTGTGCTTGTAATTGCCATGCTAATGTGAATTTCCATATTCATGAGCCAAACTGTTACATCATCCAAGGGACGGAACCTCAATGTTATATTGATTTGTGCCCAAACAGTTGCTGGCATTTGTGATATTTTAAATGCCCTAAATGTCCTTTTCTTTGATGATTTCTTGTGGTGTAGGCACTTGGTAAGAAGCTGACAGGTAACATTTTGTCAGCAATGTTTTCAGAGAGCAAAGTTTGAATTCACAATTGAAACCGAAAAGCCCATAAATTGAAGAGTGACTTCCTTGAATGACATCACATGCTTTACAATACACCAACCCAAAACGATGTCTGACAGTTTTCGTATTAAACATTAACCCTAACCCTCCTCAATCCTTCACCTGTTGGAGGACTGAGGAGTGTTAGGGTTAAAGAAGAGTGTGAAGTTGCACGGAAAGTGTCCTCCGAGAAGATTTTATCACATTGACCCTTTATATTTTTTTAATCCCAACAACAAGGCACAGGAAGTGCTTTTGATCTTCTCGAAAATAAGCTGAAGAATGCTTTTGAAATTTGTGA